TTTGGTGGGTTAGAAAGGATTTTTTGATGCTACGAGCTTCCTCCCTCTGTGAGTGGTCAGCAGGGGCCACAGCATCCTTTTTGGGTGGATTTACAACTCGTGGAGATGCCAAAGGGGAGGGAAGACGTTTGACATAAAAAGTTCAGTCTAGACCCCTTCAGAACCTGAATGCGAACTCAGAACCAGACTAGGACAATCTGGACTTGGGTTTGTGAGAAATACCTTGTTTTCAAGACACAGCCACCTGGAAGATTCCCTTCTTCTCTTCAACCTGAAAAGAGAGATGGAGCAGTTAATGGGGGAAAAGAAAGGCTGTGAGAATGACAAGCTCCATGAAAAGTTTCTTTGCAAATAACAGTTTAACACTAAGAAGTTAGGTTAAAATGGTTTCAAAGCCTAAAATTAGTTACGTTTTAAACTAACAGCATATGCTTTTATTGTCTCTGATCTAAAATATAATCCCAGGAGGCTGTGAAAAGCATGCAAATTACAGAAAGCTAATTTGCTCCAACAGCGACACCTCCCATGTAGTTGGGAGGTCTATTAGACCTAGTGTACTCTCCATTATTTGCATATTAATAGCACCTGCTGAAATACTTTGGGATTTACTTTTCCTGCCAGCAGAGGGACAAAACAAACAAAAAATTGATATAAAATTCCTTTCCTACAGATTTGATGAACAATAAACTATTTAGACCGTGTGAAGAATGCCAAATTAGTGAGAGGCAATGGGTTGGGACTGTGACACCATCTGGGATTTTCAGAGAAACTGGACTGCAAGTCTGCTTAAAAAAAATAAAAAATATCCCAAAGCAAAAAAACAAACAACAAAAAAGGCCTCTCTGGAAAGTGCTGGGTAATTTGAAATCGCTCACTTGGCTCAAGTCTGAAGAATGGAAAAGTTGAACTAAAGAAATCCAGACACTGCAGCAAGTAAAAAAAAAAAAAAAAAAAAAAAAAAAAAATCCCACACATCCACAAGCCCCGAAAGCAGAACCCCCCAAAGTGGACCTTGATTAAAAATCTACAAACCCCCAGGCTTTGATATTAGCCAGGCCTGCAAGGTCTAGTCTCCTGCACATAAAACAAAAAATAAATTAAAACCAGCTACAGCCTGAGATTTACTTAACAAGCCAACTTCCAGTCTCTGCTCATGACCACTGCTTCCCCTTCTGGCCCCCGAGCTATAAAAAAAGCCCCTTGTATATTCCTATAGCTCATCTTCCTCAGGGTGAGGGTGAGAGCAGCTTCCTTTCCACAGTAGCACATGGAAAAAGCTCCCTTTGCAGCGCCAGGCTGAGCCAGAGCCGCAGGCTGGATGTGGAACGTGTGCCTCTCTCTGCAGAGCGGAGTCAGGAAGCTGACCAGGGAGACAGGGACATTCCCCAGCACCTCTTTTTCCAAACAGGCAATTGGTATTCCTAAAGAAGCGTCAGCCATGTGCTCATATTCCCTGCAAGAGTTACAAGGGGCCTGTATTTCTTCATATTCCCTCTGCTTTAATTCCCATTATGCACCCTCTTTTACATAGGCACGGAAAGGCCCACCAGAGTTAACTTACTGCTGGTGTGCCAAATTTCTGTAGCATTTTAACTACCTTCATATTCCCAAATGAAGGAAGGAATTGACTTTAAGTTAAAATGATTAAATTGTTCTGTACATATTCAAAAAGTAGTGAAAGGGAGTTTAAGGCAGGACAACAAAGCACCAAAAAGTGCGGCAGCAGAGCCGACTCCATCCCTTGGCACTGTGTGACCCGTGTGAGGGAAGTGGGGAAAAGAAGGGATGTTACTGAAAAATATATTATTATTGGCCTCTTCTCTCTTCAGTACAAACAGAGCCCAACATGTCTTTCAGCTCTGCACAGCCAAGTGAGACCTATGAAAAACGTGCTCAGTGTCAGTGGTAATTACCGGAGGAGGCAATCAAACATTACAGCAACGGGGACCCCTGAAATGCTGCACACAGACAACTCCCACCATGGCTGTCAACAAATGCTCATTCTCATTAATGTGTGTGTAACTCCGAAATGCTGCAGCACTGGTAGCTATTAGCATTAGCTGGTAGCTAATTAGTAGTAAGTAGTAGAACTAGTTACAGTTGCAGGATGGCAAGTGGATGCAAACCGGAGGGACTGGGCTCTGAGCTTGTGATCACTGTTGGTGATAATTTTCAGCACATTTTTCCAGAGTCAAGAACCTCTAAATAGCTGGAAGGGAAAGGGGTGACCGGAACAGTTGCTGGGAGGCCTCAGTGGGTCAGGGCACCGAGAAGCAGATCTCCCTCCTTGTGTTTAAGGTACCAGCTCGAAACTGTTAAGAACTGAGCGTTGCTGTCATTCAGATGCCCTGTAAAATGGGTTTGTACTCCATTTCTAGAAGAGGAGGGCAGGATCTGCCTCCTTTAACTTTCCTATGTACCTGCTGTGGGCTGGTCATGGATCCTGTGCTTCAAGGATGGCAGGAGCAGGCACGGAGCCTCAGAAGGGGAACCTGGGATACAGCAGGGCCTGGAGACATGGCTGTTACTGCTGCCATGTCCATGGCTAAAAACATCCTGTGCTGCCTCACAGCACTGCCCCAGCCTCTCTGTAAAGAGTTCTTCCAGTCACAGAGAGCCCTGTATTTGTAATGACAGCAATAAAAATAATAACAGTAATAATAATAAAAAAGCCACCCTAGAAAGGAAAACCCTATTATAATATTACCTATTATAACAAATTGGATGTTCCTTACCTGAAATTTCATGAGCAATTAGCAAACAGAATTATCCACAAACCTGTGTATGCCCTGTTATCCTTGCAGTGGTTTCAGCAGCCACATTCCCAGCCTGCAGTTTGCTATCCAGCAGCTTCCAAACCACAGCTTTTTCTTCTTTCTTTTTTTTTGCATCATGAAGTTCATGGCAGACAATGTTTTACCACCTGCACACTGGGGGAGAAAAAAAAGCAAGGGGGAGAGGATCAATATATACAGTATGTTTATATTCAGCAAGAGCATGTTGCAGAGTGGGGAGCTGTGATGTGTGTGTTGGCATTGTGTGGGAAAGGATCCTTAGTGGCACTGCAGCTGGAAAAATTAGTGGAAGATCAGGGAACTGTCCTCAGTGACAAACTTTCACCTGGCAAGTTACAATTCTGTCGTAGGAAATGATACCTTAGACTGCAGCTAATTTGTGAATCCCAGAAAAGGCAGATCACTGATTCTTCATCAGGACTGCAGAACCTGATCTATAAAAATTTGGGCCTCAGCAGGAGGTTGTGTCTAAGTGTGATTTGCATTTCAATTCTTAGTGCACCACAACCTTCCTGCAGCACTATCACAATGGAAGTTTTTGGTCTCAGTGTGCTCAAAATACATATCAAAAAACAAAAAATCTTGGTACAATGGCAGCCAGTTGTTAATGGGAAGGGAAGTGGCATTTATGTTTGAATTGTTTCACGAAACACCATTACATCAGAGTCTTTCATCATTTTGTGGGGGATCGAGTCCCCTGACACCATCTTCAGGGACCTCACGTGGTGCTCGTCACTATCATTCCACTTGCACAAACACCCCAGCCCTGTCAATTTTTATCTGCCCAGAACCCAGAATATGTTACAGTATTTAGTTTTTGTTCTAGGTGAAGAATTCACAACAAATAAAAGCCATTTCCCTGAAAAAACAAGGCCGTGAGTGACGGTTAAGGGAATTTCAGGCAGACCCCCTTTGCAGGAGGGGCAGCAGCTCTGCCGTCCCTCCCGCTGACTGATGGCACAGCTCCAACTCATCCTACATGGAGCAGCCACCAGCACTGGCAATGATGCTTACTTGTTTCCCTAAAAAACTGTCTGGGTCAAGCTCTGAACCCTGTGTATGTGCTGAAGATGAATTATTCATAGGAACAGGAGGGTTTCCCTTCACTGCCGCTGAATCAGGGAGAGGGGTTTGCAGAGAGAGGTAAAAAAATCCACTCCTGACTCCTTTAGCCAAGGAAATGTTCCACGTCAAACCCTCACAGCCTCTTAACCCAGTGTCAACAGAGACAGGTCTTCATGCCCTTCCTGTGTGCTTGGGAAGCCAACTGAGCCAAGCTCTCTGAGAGGAATTCAGTGTGCAGAGCTGTCCACGGGCCAAGGAAGAGGGTTATTAATGTTCTGGCACAGCCCTGCTCCCTCTCCTTGCTGCTCATGGAGCCAGCTTTTGTCCTGAAGAGCTACACATGACCACGAATTCAAATTTACATTTATTTTTGCCATTTGATCCCTGTTTTCCTATGTGTAGAATATTACTGCCACTTACTCAGATATGGCTAAACTCAACGACCCTTTCCAGGGACACATTCTCTAGCTGATTAAATTTCCAGGCTCCAAACCTCAAAGCCCAAGTAAAGGGTGCACGAGTGTGTCTGCCACATCAACATCCCAAGTGTGTTTCCAAGTTTCTTTCTGCTTTTGCTGTTGACAGGAGTTTTTAGTGACTTGAGCAGGTAGAGGCTGAATGCAGGGCATTTTTTTCTACCCATTTCAATCCCTCTCTCATTAGAGTGTTGCCATGTTGGGGCCCAGTGATTTGTTTCCCTGCGCAGTGCTGCGAGCTGGCATTTGCAAGATTGCAGCACTTTGACTGTGAACTTTCATACCAGCTGCTCCCCTGTGACAAATGGAAATCAAAGCTCCACACTGAAGGTTGTGGCTCTTCTTGGAACACACTGAGTGAAGTGGGTTGTTCCATAAAGGAAAGGACAAGCTTTGGGGAACTCCCTCCTGTATCCCAGTGCCTCTATTCAGAGACATTTATGGGGAGTGATTCTGCAATAAGACACTGACCCTCTGGGATTTCTGGCCTGGGACAATCACTTACTTTTCAAAATGTTTGCTTTCACTCCACTGAGTGTCTGAGAGCCCAACAGGAATATTTCAGGCTGAAAAAGAAGTCTGGTCCTGAACTTCGTGCTAAAAATAAATAAACAAAAAAACCTTCACACAAATGCAGGATAAATAATTTTTTCTTTTCTTTAAGGACACTTGTTAAGAGCACAGAAAGGAGTCAGAAGTACGGCTTTTACTGACTGCTCTGCAGCTCAACATCTCTGGCATTCAAAACATACAACTTCTGTGTTTGTACTACATTTCCCTAACAGCTTACATCGAGGCCAAACACACAGCGTTCTGCAAAGGTCCTCTAAAATAAGCTTATTTAAAAGAGCAAGGTCAATGCCCAACACATGTCAGATTCTGTGAGCAGAAATCAAAGAGTTCGGAGCAAATGGAATATGTCAGAACTCGGTGGATTTCCATGCCAGGCTCTTTTACCAAGTTCACTTTGCTGCTGCCAAAACCAGTAACAATTTCATCATATGGACTTCAGCTTTGGAAAAGTGTCTGAAAAAACCCCCAGTCTCTGTACATGGGCCACTTAGCTCAATAAATAAAACTAAGGCATAAATGTGTTTATCTGGACATGCTATTTATTGTCCCTGTAACTGTATTTTTCCTTTAATGGGACACACGCTGATTCCATGCTTCAGCCCTAGGCTCTATTAAAATCAAATTAAAAGCATTAGTAATGTAGTTAATTCCATTTATAACATGGCCATCAAGAGAAAAGAGAATATTAAAATAGGAAAAAAATATAAATGGGATTTAAATTTTTTTTTAAAAAACATAGTTCCATTTTGATCTCTGCATTTTTTTTAATAAAAAAGGGAAAACTTTTTCCTCTGTTCAGATAAAGTAACTCTGCCCTGGTCTTTTAAACCATATCTTGCAGACTGATATTTGTGATTTCAATTAAAATATGCTATTGTCACTTTAGCCTCCCTCTTTGGTATTTTAAATTGATCCTAATGGCTTTGCCTTAAGTGATTTGCGTCCCATAGTGAATCCCTGTCACTTACAGCACCTCCCACTACTGCCCTCCCGAATAATCACTCCCAGATAATCGCTCCTTCCCCCTTCTCCCAGCGTTATTCCCGCTTCCCCCCGACTCCACATGCTGGTACTGGCTGCGAAGTATTTGCTCTTTACCATCTTTAACATATGGCTTGTTGCTCTGGCACACAACAGTCAAGGATTTAAAAGAAGGATAAAAGCTGCATGAAAAAGCCAAACTGGTGGCTCTGGAGTTAGGCTTGTGTGTCTCCATCCTGTTTTCCAGAGGGTGAGGAGGAAGGGAATTGGGTTGGGATTACCACGCCTCCAGCACTGTACTCACAGTGTAGATCCTGGCAAGTGCTCACACGGCCCAGGTCCACTTGCTGCTTCCTGACAGAGCTCTGTGAGATGGACACCATCAGAGGAGAACCTGTTTAGGAAAGCAAAATTCCCATTGGGGACTTCCCACCATCAGCAGAGCCCCTCAGGTTTTGGCTGGGAGCTGCCCCTGCCCTGTCCCTCCACATCCCAAGCCTTGCACACCCTGGTGTGCACAGGGAACCATGAGCCTTCTCCTCCTCAGAGGAGGGTCCTTTCTCCTTTGCCTTTCATGGATCTCATTATTAATTGAAGAATCATTTAGTTTGCATAATTGTCCTCTGCCATACATAATTCCAACCTTTCCCTTTAAATTGGCTTATTCAACTAAATACAGTCTTCTGTTTTTGTGGCTCCAGCTATCAAAGCTTCTAGATGGACAGTCAGGGTGAAGTGGAGAAAAAAAACAAACTAATAATATTAGGAAGCATCTTTTTATGTACATTTATGAGATCTACCAGCAGGTGACTCCATTCTAAAATATCTGTTTTTTCATAGAATAAAATGCTTTCTTTCCTACACCCCGATCATCATCATAATGCCCCACTCTGAAAAAAAACCAGTGTTAAATAAATAGCACTTTCACTTAAGCTATGAACTATTTCTTTCTGAATAACACATGAAATTGAATTAGAGAGATTCGGTGATTTCCAGAGCAGCCTGATCTGTTCCTGTCTAATCAGACCTGATTAATTCAAATCAAACTGCAAACCTCAGTTTTATTTTGCTTTAAAAACTTGAGATCAACAACAAGTCAGCAGTATGTAGATATCACAGAAGCAGTTAACACAGAAAGCCTACAGACACCGACTCTCATAGAGTCAAACGGATGTGATTAAACATTTGGCATCATTTATTAATATTTTATATATTCAAATATATACAGAGCAGATAGGACCAGTCAGAGAAATGCTCTTCACTGGGGACAATTATATTTATGCCTAAGAACAGGAGATCCAGCTTAGGTGTCAAAGGGTGTTTCTTCAAAACAGAAAAGTTATTAACAAATCATAGGGTTATGTGGGAGGGTTTGTAACACAGAACTGCACTAAACCATGCAATGATCTACACACACAGTCAAAGTGTTCGTGTGGTACTGAGCACAGCAGAATAAATTAAGTAAGATAAAACAAACCAAAACAACCTCACAAATGCAAGACTGCAAATGCAAAACAGGCAGCCGTGCAAGGGGTATTTCAGAGAGGTACTGAGCCATTATTCCTGTGGAACGTGGGCTCAGAGAGGCTCCCAGACCTGACCAGTCTAATCCACATCAGCCGGGCAGGCTCGGGGTCGGGAGGCTGACTGTGGACTTGGGCGCTTGGCACAGCTGTTTTCCTTAGGTGCAATCCGCTTGTCACTAGTGGTGGCACTCTGCCTCTGCTGTATGGCAGCATATGTGCTTGCCACGTTTGGGACCCATTATATCTCCTTCCCCTGCAGCCACTTCCCTTCCCTTCTCGTTAGCTGCATGTCCATATATTCTTCCCTGCTCTCCCGCCACATCGCAGTGCCAGCTCTTTGCCCCCTCTGCCTGCTCTGCTGACTGCACACACTGCCTGTGCCAGGGACAAGCTTCCCATATTCCAGCCATCTGGAGATGGGGCAGAATTTTGATATACATTGCCAAATTTGCATATACACATGCACATGTGTGTGTGTCTTTATCTCTACACGTACATACAGACATGCTCCATAAGAAATCATATCTATTCCATCTCTGAAACACTCACCTGTTCAGAAATAGTTTTGCTACCAGGGAGAGCACACAGAGACAGAGAAAAGTTGAAGAACAGCCAAGGAAATCTTTCAAACGTGGTGAAAACCCAAACTAAAAGCAAAGGTGGAAAAAAGGGAGGGGATGGGCTATACGTTCCCATTTCAGCCTCTGCAATTAAAAGCCTAGTTACTGCACTAGCACAGACCCATTAGTAAATGCTGATATATTGGCTTGCAGACGAAGCAGTACCTGACTGCCTGCCCAAAGAGGCACTTAAATGTTTCCGCATGCTTTGTACACACAGGACTGACTGCAGGACTCATTTTTGCTCAGTGTTGGGTCACCGCATACGACAACAACAGTTAAGAAGAAATTTGGTTGATGTCTCGTTTTGAGGGGCTCTACTACTGCCAGCCTCCTGACTCCAGGTACACACAGTTTCCTACCAGGATGCTGGGACACAGGTACAGGGGAAAACATCTCCAGTGTGGAGAGATGAGCTTGCCCAGGCGAGTTCCCACACTAAGCAGTGGGAATCCCATGGAGACTCTTCCTTGGGCTCCCTGCAGGTGTGGGTGTGCAGTCAGTAAAGGAACATTGAGCTTCAGGATAAAGGAGCTTTTCACTCTTTTAAAGAATATTAAAAATGCAGCAGGCTCTGATTCCCATTTATACAACTATAAAGATGTCCTTGATTACTGAAATTCAGATGAGGTCAGATTTCCTTCTCATCCTCTTCCAAACCAGAGCATCCCAGGGTTTGGGAGCTTCACACCTGAAGCCAGTCCAGTGGAGATGCCTCTGGGAAATGCAGACCCACATTCAGCTTTTCATTTCCACATACACGAGCAAGTTAAAATCAAAATTTCCACTCATAATAACCTCCAACCTCCAAACTCTAATTAAACAGGTTTTAAAAAACGACAACAAAACAAAACAGCAAACAGCTACTCAGCTTTGATCTGCTTCTTTTTTCATTAAATTTATCTTTAAGTATTTTCTAAACCTCTCATCCCAAGGAAGCAATCACAAAAACCCATTAGGGTTATTTTTATACAATGGCAAGAGCACTGAATTACCTTCCTGATGGAGTTCCTGTCTAGGTAAGCGACACTGCCAAACCTGGATCTGCATGTCCTATACACCTGCTGGTTTTAAATGCTACTCCAAGGCAGCAGTTGGGAAAACAATGTTCCAGCTGTGGCCTGGGTGGGCTCATCTCAGGGAATGCCGTTCCTCCCGGCAGCTGCTCTCAGCAGCTCTATCCCTCACCTCATGATTGCCTTGTTCAGCAACAGGTCAGCCCAGCACAATCCCTCACCTACTTCCAGGCTCCCTAAGTACCAGTGACAGAGGCTGAACCATCTCTGGCTTTCTCTGCAGCCCCACTACATTAATGAACAGCATTGCACAAAAAATTGCTGCCGACAACTAAATCCTTTCATAAATCATGCTGCTTTTGGACATGTCCTTCCATTCTCCCACCCTCTTACACATAAACAGGGAGAAGGTTTAGGAAAACCAAAAAAAACAGGGTAATTTTGGTCTTTTCTTTGAGGCAACATTCTTGAATCAGCTCAGGAAATCAGTCTGCTCACTTTGGGATGCACTTTTGAGGCAGGTGACTGAACAGAAAGAGAGAGAGAGACCACCCATAGATAAACCAGAGACAGGTTTTCCATTGGTACCTGTTGCTGCAGGAAAACTCACAGCTGGGTCAGCAGAGGTGAAAGGATGGAAAATGCCTGTCCATTTAACATAAATAGTTACACCATGCACATACATTTCGTGCCATCTCCTGCCCTCAGAACCCTCAGGAATGTTAAGTAGGTAGGGGGCCCCTCTGAGCAGGGAGATGTCCATAGCTCAGGGCAACACTCCCAAAAAACAGCCTGTGGGGCTAAGAAGGTTTTGCAAGCAACAAACATTCGATGGACTTTTTATTCACGGCCACCCCTGACAGAGCAGTTGATCCTCAGCACGGCAGCGGGGACAAGGTACCCACCCAAAGTCCCACCCAAGGGGGAATTAGGTGAGGATGCTGAGCTTTGCTTTGCTTTGCTCCACCTTCTGAACAGAAAGGTTCTGCTGCTTGGGTGAATTTTTGTTCAGCAGCCCCCAGACACACCATGGGAGCAAAAACTTTGAAACCTTCTGGCTGAGGAGCCTGGCAGTGAAGCTCCAACCTGTGACCCGGGTCGAGATTTTATCAGCCATCAAGGAACAGCTCTTGTAGTACATGAATGGCCAACTCAACTGCTTGGAGAAAGGAGCTGATTCAGGCTGCCAATATTGGCTCTTACACAGATAATAAACTAGACTGGCCTTTCTCCTGACATCACACTTCAATCAAAAACTTTCTCGCAAAATGTCACTTTCAAAGTTGCAGCTTTAAAAAAAAAAAAAAAAAGAAAGAAAAAAAACTCTTTATAAAAAATTCATGGCCACAATGATCTGATAATGCAGCTTTCTGATACCAGCAGATGTTTTGTCTAACATGTTCCCTGAAGCTGTACTCTGTGCCTTCATATCTTTCATTTCCAGTTGCTATCTGCTGACTGTGGGATGTCATGTACGTACCCTATAGCGATGCACAGCAATTCGCATCTCACACCGCCGTGCGTAATGAGCTTCACAAGATGCTTGTCGCAATAACTCCGCACTTCCCCAACCATATGGAACACAACACTCCAAAGCCCACAGACACTTTTTTTTATTACAGTTCAGATCCTTAAAACATAATCTGTGTGATGTCTAGTGAATGTACGTGAAGAGCTGCT